TTCGGCTCCTTGAGAAGGGTTTCGGTTCCTAAGGTCTATTTTTCTCGTTTTTACTCCGTTTTAAGCCGTTTTTGATCCGGTTAAGGGTCGGAATGACCCAAATGATTCTAAAAAGTTACGGGAAACTTTTGAGAGAGATTTGGGAGAGATTTCACATACATGGAGAGATTTGGGAGAGATTTGACATCCTTGGAGAGATTTCTCATACAAAGAGATATTTGAAAGAGATTTCACAAACTTGGATAGATTTGGGAGAGATTTGAAATTCTGGGAGAGATTTCTCATACAAGGAGATATTTGAGATAGGTTTCACATACTTGGAGAGATTTGGGAGAGATTTGACATTCTTGGAGAGATTTCTCATACAAAGAGATATTTAAGAGAGGTTTCACATACTTGGAGAGATTTGGGAGAGATTTGACATTCTTGGAGAGATTTCTCATACAAAGAGATATTTGAGATAGGTTTCACATACTTGGAGAGATTTGACATAGAGAGAGAGAGAGATAGAGTGAAAACGATTGAGAGAGGTTCCATGTGTGACAATTGTGAGTGTTTGGCCCCGCAATGCAAGGTTCTTGAGCCCCGTTAAGTCATGATTAAGGATCCTACACACTCCCGATAAGTATGCAACATGGTTTTTATCAGTTTAGTTCATTGATTAGCACTAAGGCTCAGGAAATTTTTACACAAGACTTTTCCCAAGTGATGTTTTCCCATTAATATAGCAAGTTATACAGTATGTACATAACACAAACCCTAATACACAAGGTTTAATTGAGTTGACCGGTTTGACTTGATGACTTGACTTGACTCAAGATTGACGATTGTCACATATTCCCCCCCCCCCCTGAAAACAGTGAAAAACATTAAAAAGGGTAGGGGTATGAACTCACCGGACGAGGAATGTGTCGACTAGGATGCTAAACGTCGGATCGAGGCTTGAAAACGTGCGAGGTTCCTATGTAATACTAAATGATACACAAACGTATCTAATTAGATTTTAAATCACTAATTAGTTGAGGATATACACTTCTAGTTGCGAAAACACTTCATATCTAGTGTTTGGAGTGACCCGGGTGACTTTTATGGACATATATGGTTTGGATATGGAGTTTACTCTTCAAGAGTAAACTCTTAGAAGAGTTTTCGTCCCTAAACACCACATCCCCATGACTTTACGGCCGTAAACTCATGGGTGGTGTTCTTAAGTGCTAAATGGTCTTATAATATTTGAGGGATGATGCTAAGTTTGGTTCTAGGGCATTAGAAAGGGATTTAATCAATCATATGGACCATTTGATGAGTTTACGGCAGTAAACTGGGATTTTACAGCCGTAAACTCTCACCCACTCAATCCTTATGTGCTTTGATGGTCCTAGGTTAATCACATGTGATTTAAACTCATTTTACAAGTTATGGGGTGAATTTACGGCATACTTTGACCAAGATATAGGAGTTTACGGCCCATGAACCCATTCTTGGGGGGTTTACGGCCGTGAACTCCTAAGGGAGTTGTTTTCATCAACTTTAAGGCTTCTAATTCGATTGTGGTTGCTTCTAGTTATTAGTTCAAGGCTTAGGAGGTGTGTAAATGGCATTTTAACACCTAAAAAGGAGTTTACTACCCATGATATGGAGTTTACGGCCCAAGCATGCTCTTGGGCAGTAAACTCATATTTACTCCCTAAATGATGAGTTTAAGGTGTTCTAAGTCCAATCCAATAAGTCTTTAAGCCATATCTAAGCTCCAATGGTGGTTTGGAAGGGTTTTAAGGCTCAAAAACCTCATTTATATGTGTTCACGGCCCAAGAGTATTCCATGGTTGTAAACACATGTTTATGGTCCTAAATCATGATTTGAACACGAAAATGAAGGCTAAGGATGTTATACTAGAAGCTAGGATAGTTAACTTGGTGATTTGAAGCTTATAATGAGTGATTTTGGATCAAGAAGTTGGATTTGAGGAGAGAGGTTAGAGAGAGAGAGAGTGAAAAGGCTTCAAATGAGGCTTAAACAACTTTAAATATTATTTGGATTTGATACACGATGGAATTCTACCCGATACTGACGTTAACCGAAGCTTTTAGTTGCACCCGATTAAGGTGTCGTAACCCGATATGGTCAAAACTAAAATTTTTCTAATTACTAGTTTGGGGCGTTTTCATGTGTTTCTAACGTGTTTGGATGATTACGAGGTCAAAATAAAAGTCTTAATTTAAATGACCTAATCTAAAAGCGAAATCGGAACAATTCGCTTAAGACGAGTTTTACGGACGAAACGGGTTGCGGCGATGGAACAACTCCGGGTTGTCACAGTTAATAATCAACAGATAAGTGAAAACGCTTAGTGAGCGTACACATGAGTCACGTAGTATATGAATAATACACATGATTTGAATACTTCATGCATAACACATAAAGTGTTGGTACCAACTCTTGAAATGGCTTATTCCCCCGAAGGGCTTGTCTTAACCCATTGCCAATTCCCCTTAAGGGCTTGTCTTAGCTGGTTAGTTCCAACCAATTCCCCATGATGGACTTGTCTTGGCCATATTATCCCATAAAATGAAAACATATTAAACAGGTTACACTTAAACATGCATAGTAAACATAATATATATAAGTTATTCTAACTCACTTGGTCCGGAGAACAACTGTAATCTCAACTAGTATGTCGACTAGTAAGTATTCAAGCTCTGATCGATCTACACAAGGTTCCACTAAGTTCTAGTATGTTTATATTCTCCAAATCTACTAAATAATGCTTGTTAAGTATTTTATTTTAGTTATACTATCTATATAGCAATATATTCTAGCCCTTTTCTACCTATGTTACATGCATTTACACAAAAAGGATTCTAAATGGGACCAAAGTACACCTTCTTAGCTTTCCAAATATATAAAGGATACATTTATACATTTTTTCTATATTTTTATATATGTGATTTTTACAAGTTGGGGATTGCGATCAATCAAGTTGTTGAATCGATATGTAAAGATTCCATCTTCTACCATATAAACGATGAGAATTAGGCCATGAAAACCAAAAGTGAAATCAAGTAGTCATTCATACCTAACTACATATCTTGACCTCAAGACTTTTGATTTTTTACCTTTAGTTTTAAATTTTACAAGATGGGATCAGATTATAGCTACAAAGTTGTACGGTTTAGTCAACACCATGTACAAATTTTAGTTTTCATCCTACTTAGCGTTGGAATTAAGTGATGTGGCACATATATTGGATGAATGAAACTAGACATACAAACGCTTCTAATACCCCTGGCCTCATGCCATTTAGATTCCTTTAATATTTTATATGATTATTACAGAATGACAGTTGCAATATGTGATTCTCATGCACCAATATAATGAAAGGCACAATAAGCCCCACTTGGGGTTAGAATCAGGTCTTGGAATCTACATAAGGGTTCAATTAGACTCTTGTATCTAACTCAATACACAAGCCTTACCCCAATTGGATTTTCCTATGGTTTATCAAATAATTCACAATACATTGGATAAATTACACAAAACATAGGGAGATTGCATGTTCACCAAACCTTAGGGTTAGGGTTTTCGACCCAACACCCAACCCTATGGCTAGGGTATAGCCTTATACAAATGCTCATGATCACTACTTCTGAAATACATTCCACAAGGAAGAAAAAGTACATAGGCTTGATGTGATTGATTGATCTAGGTGTAACTTGCACCAAAAGTAACTTCTCTTCTTGCTCTAGAAATTGTAACAAATTCTCTTCTTGCTCTAGAAATTGTAACAAATTCAACAACATTTATCTCGACCTCCAGTTGAAATAAAAAAACTCTCTGGTAAAAACCTTCATATATATATATATATATATATATATATATATATATATATATATATATATATATATATATATATATATATATATATATATATATATATATAGGGTTAGTTTATTTTTTTTATTAACTATTGTGTGCCAGAATGCATAGATCTGGACCATTAGATTGAATATAATCAAAGGTCATGATTTGAGGGTCTATGATAGTAGAATATGATAACCTGTACCATATAATCGCATAAATTTCAACATAAGGGCATTTTAGTCAATTAACCTATATTAAAAAAAGAAATTTTTGGATTTTTAGGGATGATTAATTCCTTAATTTTTTTTTAAAATCTGAATATTTTAAATTAATTCAGATTTAAAAATCCGATTTTATTCTGTCAGAATGATAGAATGCGAACCATAAACTAGTAAATATATTTTTCGATTTTATTCTGTCGGAATGGCAGAATGTCAACCATAAACTAGTAAATACATTCTGAAAGAATACACAAATCAATTCTTGAACTAATAATTACATTGTATGATTGTGATTCATTGAATAATAACAACATTCTGAAAGAAAAAATAAAAAAAATAAAAATAATAAAAAAAACAAAAAAAAACATCAAAATCTAACAAAAACACTAATCTATTTTGAAAGAATATTATTTTTAAGCAACACTTTATACATTGTAGCATAACACATTCTGGTATAATACACTCTCGTTCTATATGTTTTATTCCTTCTCCACATCAATGTTAGCCTCTTCAAAACCTAAATCCACAAAGAAAAGATAATCAATTTTCAAAATTTAAACAATTCAATGCATTATAATAGAATACAACAATAAAATATTCTTACAGAATAAACTATTCTTGCATAATGGTTTTGAATATTCTTATAGAATTTGTAACATACTCTATTAGAAACGAATGGTAATTACCGGATTAAATTTGAAGAAGAATTCCAAAGCCAAGGTAGATAGGGTAAATATTGAATTCAAGTTGGAAAGGCTTGGTGGGGGAGGGACTAAACTTGTTAAAAAGGATGAAAGTTTGATATGGAGCATGAGACTTGAACCTGATGATCTTCTCTCCCGTTTTAAGGTAACAACTCCCATACCCTAACCCTAACTCGTATTCTCTCTAGCTGCCACCATCCATTCGGAGTTTACCTAGCCGCCATCTTCACCCCCTCTTACTTCCTCTGCCGCTGCCAGCCTTTTGCCTCCACCACCGATGTTGCGAAGCTGCTGTTGAAGACGTGAACCGCCACCGCCTTCACACTCGTGTTTCGACTGGCAAGGCCACCGACGGCCTCTTGAGGCTCTGCCGATGCTGTTCCAATTTTCCTTCTTCTCCTGTTTCCTCTCCGCAGCAAGAAACCGACATCTGCTGCCTGCTGCCTCAGAGGTTGATGAGCTCGTGGTGTTTCCGTTATCACCGGAGCACGGTGACGAGTTTAAGGCTTGTATTCCGACAGGGGTACGCTGTGTGGGTCATTTCACGAATAGAAGCATGTTTCAGATCATGTTTGCGTGTGGATGCTTGACTGGAAATCATGGGGTTTGGAGTTGTGTTTAGAATGATGATTTTTAGAGACGTAGGGGGAATCGGTGGGTGGTGGTGTTATATGAAACTGATAACCTAAATTAGTGACATATTGATTGATTTTGTTTTCTTTACCATAATTAATTATAGTTTAGATTACTCTTATACTCTTTTATTATTAATTAGTGATTTAATTATTTCTTGAATTCTCATTGGTCCATTTAGGCACACAATACTTACTAAAAACATTTGAACCTATATATATATATATATATATATATATAATATATATATATATATATATATATATATATATATATATATATATATAAGGAATCTGCAATCCAAAAATTCCGATGATCCAACGATTCAATCTGCAAGGATCCTCTGAACACTGGCTAAGACATGTCTTAAAAAAAAAATATGAAGTTCTCTTTTGACTAGGGTTATGTAGGGAGGTATGGGGAGCTTATCTTTTCTTGGGCTACAAGAGTGAGATAAATATCATAGGCTCAAGGCTCATCATGCAAATTTTGAATGTGCAATATTAAACCCTTATATTTTTCCATAATGGCATAATTATTCCTTTTGATTAATGTTTTAACATTTTAAGTATTTAAAATCTCATTTTAGTCTCTCGTATTTTTTATGTCCCTTTTAATGTCATTCCTATCTATATATTTAGTTATTTATTTTAATCATTGTATTTCTATTAAAACGCAAGAAAATAATTAAAACGACTAACTAAACAACTAAATGAAAATGGGGCGTTATAGAGATGGATCGTATCATCTTTCGATAAGGTACAACAAAAGCTGATCCTGGTAACCCGCTAAACATCTCTAACCGATACCAGTTCGTATCATGGGGAATATCCTTCTCATGATTTATCTAATTCTAATATTATCTTTTGTAGGTAATTGACCAAAATTTTGTACACAATCATGTACCGAAACATAACTCATTTGGCACGTATGTGGAGTTAATAATCTTCAACCCTATATAAGTATTGTTTGTGAACCAAGGGTGTATTAGGTTAAACCTCATGAGGAAATGATGAACTCAAGGGATCCTTATTTGTGCTTAATACATCGAGCCGAGAGACAAAAGATGAGCCCTAAACATAGTCTAACATAGCCAATCAGGCTTATATCACTCTACTTGTCCATTATTGCCTTTTTGGGTATGGTATTGCATTTTAGAGTCAAGTTCTTCTTGTAAAGCAGAGATGTAATAAAACCACAACCATTAAAAGCAAAATCAATTTCTAATCTACTGAATTTCTCGAATATCAATAAATTTTGAAAATGGTCATTTGTTTCAAACTTTTTGTTCATGTTAGAAAAAAAAATGCAAACATAAATAACAAGACCACGATAGCCTTATAAACTAAGGACCACATATTTTGGAGTTCCTAACTCAAAACTCCTTAAGTTTCGCACATGGCGGGCCATTTGGCTTTTTTCTAGTTAAGGGTGGTCAAATTGTTATATCCATTTAAGAAAACTAGTCATTTTCATGAATTAACCTTTAATTTAATGAAACGGGTCATTTTATTCGTTAAACCACATACTATCTTGAAATAAATAAATAAAAAGGGCAATATACACTCCCTCATTTCACTAAATTAAAATGTTGAAATAGTAAAAAGATTTGATAGATTGGCCGGATACATCAACGAGAACATGAGAAATAAAGTGATCTCTACATGGAGGTCGTTTCACATTTACTTCCATTTAAATAAAAGTAATATAAAAATACAATTGATATAACAATATAAGTAGTAATAATAAGAGTAAAAGTAACAATACAAGTGATATAACATTATAAATAGTATGTGCATACTCATATGCTAAACATAGTCAAGGAGAGTAGAATGGTGGATAGAATTAGAAGCGAGTTGGTATAGTTTTCCCAGCATCCAAGATTGCATCTTCCATTAATTTTATCAGTTTCTTACTTCCACCTACTCGAGCTTCATCAAGAGGCGTGTTACCCCATCTGTGACAAACAAAAAAACAATTAATAGTTATTATAGGAGGATAAGTTTTTAAGGGAATCAAGAAAGGAATGGAATGGTTCATTCCATTGGAATAAATAACCCCTTGAAGACACATAACCCCTTCTGCTTTGTTAATTTTCATTCCTTAGCATGGGTTGATTTTCTTTTCTTTTCATTTCATCTTGAAATGGAATAAAAAATCGCAAATTAACCCTTCCATGATTCCTAGGGACGTATGGAAGGACTTCAATTCCATTCTTCCATTTTATATTAAAGAGAGAGAGAGAGAGAGAGAGAGAGAGAGAGAGAGAGAGAAAGACCAAAATAGCCTCATTAAAACATACCTGTCTTTGGACATTACACTCCCACCAGCTTCTAAGATCAACTTAGCAATTGAATAGAAGCCTTCTGCTGCTGCAATATGAAGTGGCGTACGAAGATCATAATTTTTGGAATTAGGATTAATTCCATTTGCCAAAACTCTTTTTAAAAATTCAAAATCCCCCTTTGCAACAGCCATACAAAGACAATTCCCAGCATTATTATTATTCATATCTAATGATGCTCCTGCTTCCACAAGCATGGAAACCACCTCATCCTGCCCATTCTTGATTGCTTCGAATAATGGTGTATTTTCATGATTATCTACATAAGACATTTATTTATTTATTTATTCTGTTAAATATTAAGTTCAAATGCAATGTTGAGTTATTTGTGTTGTGTTTTTATATGTTTTCTTATTAAGTGATTGCACTTTAAAAATCCACCCAATTTTACAAGTGTACATTCAATTTTTTGCTTATTGAGACATTATACTTTAAAAAATCTACCTAAATTATACGGAGGAAATGAAAGTAGGATGCTATAACAAAACAAATCAATACAAGTATATTGATATCTCTTGCATTTAACCCTAGATATATAGCATGAATAATTAAACCCTACACATAGGAACTTACCTGTAGCATTAATTATTGCTCCTTTTTCCATGAGAAACTTAACAATGTCTTCAAAACCTTTCATTGCAGCAATATGCTGTAAATAGATCATCAGTATGCAGTGTTAAATAATTATTAAACTTTTTCACCACTTTATAGTTTTAGCCACTTTACTATTTTCTGGAGTGATTAAACCATCATTATTCATTAACTGTTTAAAAATTTTTTCTCTATTAATCAGTTTCAGAAATATCAGGCCAAAATACATAACGTATTTTCACCACTTCATCAATTTATCCACTGAAATATTACTTTTTATCGATTTATCCATCAAACTTGTATTATAATCTAAAAACATAATAGTAATAAAAAAAAATGAATACCAAAGGTGATCTTCCATCATAATCGGTGTTATTAGGATCTAATCCAGCTGCAACCAAACGCCTTACACGATAAGTATCACCATTATAGACAGCAGAATTTAAGGTGAGAGCCAATTCAGATTCATGTTTTGCAATATGAAGTGAGATATCAGACTCCAAAATCTTGTTACGGAGGTTTGTTTCTTTTCCCTTGTAATAATAATAATAATAATAAAAAACACCAAATGAGATTTCTGTAAACAGCAACATACTTGCATTTAATTAATTATATAGGAACTCACCTGAAGTAGGTTATCTAGAATGATCCTGGCATCAGAAAAGTGTATCTCAAGTATATCTGTAAGAGATTGCCTATCAACGCGTAGCAGCTTTGACAGCTCAGCAACACGAACTGTTTCAGGTGCTGGAATGTTACAAAGAAGTGATATTTCATTCAGAGAGCTTGAACTTTCCAAATTCTGAATAGATTTCCCCCCTTCGTTCTCATTTCCTCCCATATCCTCCTGAAACAATCCCAACCTACTTTTCTTTATTTCTATTATATTTAAACCACTGCACTTGTATCAAATCAAACTAAAATTTGGATAGATTTTAGTCCATGAAAGTAATAAAGGAACAAAACTAATTGTTGTTTTGCAGTTAGATCAAGCCTTTTCTGACTTAAAAAATATTTGTAAAATTTATGACTTAAAAATGAGGAAAGTAAGTTGTTATTACCTGTAATTTGCCATTTAATCTGAATATTAGTCGAATAGGAAATAAAAGAATAATGCTTCCATACCCAATTATATTACAATACTGTAAATGAATCTTTCTATAGGCTTAAAGTTATTAGTGTAATGCATACCAATTTCCCATGACAAACAATGTAAAGCTGATCTGCTATATTTCCTTCTTCAATAATCACTTCCCCAGGAAGAAAAAGTTCTTCATGAACTCTAATCGCCTACATATAAATTAATAAATGATAAATATGAGGATCTCACAAAAGAAGGAAGCAATAGATCATGTTAGCTTCTTCAAACTAAGTTGCACCAAATGCTTCAATAAAATTACAGGCTAATTGCGAGAAATAGCAATGTATTTTTTTTTTCCTTGGGTTATATTTTACTTAGTTTAACTTCATTCTTGATAGAAATATTAAATACATTTTACATTTTAATTTCAAGAAGGTTGAGGTTGTGCAGAATATTGTCCACATTATTGAAACAACTTACTATCTGTTTGATAAATGCAGGAGAGCATCCCTTAAAAAGAGGAACTTCTTTAATGTATGGCTCATATAACTTTTGTGAGATCTGTAAAACAGCTGATTAGATTAATGTAACCAAATAATCTGCTTGCTGAAAAACTAAGGCTTAAATTCAAGAAAGAACAACCTAGTTTCATTGATTAGTTTAGAGTAAATTACTGAAATCGTCTTTGTGGTTTGGTCAAAATTCCACGTTTGGTCCCTAACTTTTTTTCTGCACTCGGATCGTCCCTATGGTTTGATTTTGTTGTGTTTTTCGTCCCTATGGTTTGGTAAAAATTGCATGTTTGGTCCCTAACTTTATGTATGTAAGGGACGAAAAATGCAACAAAATCAAACCATAGGGACGATCCGAGTGCAAAAAAAAAATTTAGGGACCAAACGTGCAATTTTGACCAAACCACAGGGACGATTTCAGTAATTTACTCATTAGTTTATTATATAGCATCCTGCTTACCTAGTACAACATTATACTCTAAAAAATATGCACAATTATAGCAATGTCATAGAAATACAAACCAATTTTCACTGCTATAATTGGATAGATTATTCAAAGTATAATGTCTTAATAATAAGAAAATTGAAAGTTCAACGTTATAATTGGCTAGGTTTTTCAAAGTGTAACACAATAATAAGAAAAATGGTTCTAAAACAACATTGTAGTTACAAATTTT